TCTGTGTGTCTCCTTCTGTCTCCTCCTGTCTATGCCCTATCTCCTCCTGTCTCCTCACGTCTCCTCGTGTCTCCATGTGTCTGCTCCTGTCACATGCGCTCGCAGAGTGCTCGACATGACAGAACGTGGGTGTAACAGCGGGCGTGTGTGTTGTACAGGGTCGTGTGCTGGTAGGCGGTCCTCGCTCTCTGGCCCTGCTCCCGTCCGAGGGCTGTGGACTGTACCGCACCTGTCAGGAGTGTGCACGAGCCCGAGGTCTGGGGTGTGAGTGGAACCTCTCCAAGAGCACCTGCGCCGCCTCCAGCTCACTGTGAGTACTGCAGCCTCCTGTCTGCTTCTGTCTGCTCCTGTCTCCTCCTGTTACACTGCACCTACTAGCACCTGCCTCTGACCACTGTGTCGTCTTTCACAGGCCCGAAGCTGGAGACATGATCGACGAGGCCCTGAAGATGTGTGACCCACAACAAGGTACTCTCTAAACCAATGACCAATTACACATGACCCCACCCCCCTGACTGTCTGCCTCTCTGACCCCCTCTGACTCCCTCACTGTCTGCCCCTCTGACCCTCCCCAGGCCGCTGCTCCCCTTCCCTCACAGAGAAGCGGGTGGTACTGGGCCTTCGGGTGCTGCTGCCCTGTGTGCAGCTGTCCCCCCGGCCTTGCTCCTGGGAGCACCCCCCTGACCGCCTCACCCGCCAGCACCACTCAGACCTGGAGGTGACAGTGAGTGAGGACAGCCTGGGCACCTACATCTGCACCTGCCAGGTATTCCTGCCAGCTGTGTGCTCTGCTCATGTGTGCTTCAGTGTACTTACTCTCCTTCCTCTTCACCTTCAGGAGGCGGGACCTGGCGCCACTGAGCCCACCCCCTGTCGCAGAGCGGCCTATCAGCTGACACTGGCAGATCCTACCGTTGGAGGAAATGTGGCATTGGCGGGCGGTCGGCATGTGCTGGCCATCTACATCCTGGTGTTTTTGCTGGGTCTGCTCTGTGGCGCACTGGTGCTGTTGTTTGTTTTGCGGAGGCCGGGCAGCCCCAGGCGAGCCGGGCCCCTGCCTGACTCTTCTCTTTCGGAGAAGGGCCGCGATCTCCTGGGCTCCTCCGCCACGCCCCAGTCCCCCAGTAGCACCAGCCTCTTCTCTGAGGGCTTCCCCCTGACAGACAAACGCAACGGCACCGCCCCCTCCACCACCAGCACCACCCTGCTCAGTAACCACGGCAACGGTGCTCACCACAGCAACAGCTACATAAACAATGGCAATGGCAACGGGATATACTCAAACTGTAACTCGAGGGGCAGCCGCCTCCGGCTGGGCTCCAGTCTCTCCACTGCAGAACTTATGGATCCAAGGACGAGCCAGCGTGAAACACCTGAAGGGGACAGGAGGGAGGCCGGGGAGGGCGACGAGAAGGAGCCCGCTCTGGGGGGCGCTCTCACGGACCCTGTGGGGGGCACTCTCACAGATGGACTGGACATGGAGCTCAGCTTGCCCATGTTTAAATCCACAGCTCCACTGGCCAAGTGTGAGGAGAGCTCCATATGAAGCTGCTGGAGCAGAAACTTGATTTATACTCCCCCTTCAGGAGGGAGGACTGCTCTGGTGTGCCCGCCCCTCCAAGGACTGTGTGAGGCAGATGTGGGCGGGGCTCACATATGATGTGGGCGGGACTCACAGACGATGTGGGCGGGGCACATAGCAGACGCCAAAGGCCTGTGGGCCGGGCTGGTCTTGGAGCTGCACACACTGGGGGAAGTAGGACACTTAAAGCCATAATACTGTCTGTGTTTGTTTCCGTGCGGCACCGGCTCCTGTCCACAAACCTGAGCCTCCACAGCTGTCCCCCTACAGGCACCCGTGCCTCGGACTCACCCACTCAGAGCCTGGCATGTGAACGCATCCTTTCACCCAGGGGTGCCCACCTGTACTGTCACTGTTGTCAGTACTGGATCATTCCTATGACAGCCCTGTGTGAGACAGGCCTCAGACTGGACTCAGACTGTGTGTGCTCTGTGGGTTCACCTCCTCTTCACAGTGACCTCTCACACCAAATGTTGAGTCACATGCTTTACCCTTTTGATAATAAAGCTTGAAATCTCGAGTTTGGGCTCATTTTTATTCTACAAACAAAGTGAAGCAACTAATGATTGCTTTAAGTCATTGCTGTCACTTCACCTGAGGGGGGCAAAAGTGTGATATAGGCTTCGTGTGTCAGTGTATTCAGCCTTCTTCACATGGTCCTGCACATGCGGTTTTCTTCCTATAGGGGGCACTGGTCTGTGAGCTCAGTTTTTGACCAGGCAGTATGTTTTCAACAGTAAAAGCACACATTTGTTTGCATTGGTGCTGGTAACTCAAGAGACTGAACTTCAGGATTACTATTTAATAATCTGGACCCTTAAGAATAAGAGAACTAAATCTTTATTGGACCCACAATGGGGAAAGTGCAGTGTTGCAGCAACAGAGTACAAAAGGGCATCATTACACCTGTATTTAAAATATAAATTAACATTATTCATTAACAAATACATGCTACAATAATCTAACAATATAATTTATGAATGATCAGTAAACTTTAAAGAATGTTACAGATTCAAAAGAACACATATCCATAGATGTTTAAGTAATAGAATCTCTCTAAATAAACTAAATGTACAGTGGATCGTAGCTTTGGTGCTGCAGTTAGAATCATTTCATCATAATGTGGAACATGTATGTACAAGTCAAAGAAGCTCCTGATGACATGTCTCTGTGTAAGGTCAGAGGATGAAGAGAACTCAGAACATCTGAGTTACGATGAGGGCAGATGAACTTTAAAAACATGGAGGAGCTTCATATGTGAAACAATTTCTGATTTATGTTTGAGCTGGTAAAAGGGTATTTCAGTCGTATACAGGATCCATGTATTCAATTCTATTCCAGTTTTTGTTGCTTATTTAGAGTTTCTTCACAGATTGACTTATAAATGGGCTGGTGAATCTGGTGTTTGTCTCCATGGAGATAATTACATGCAAAGCAATAGCAATGAATCCATGACAAGCTCGTGCAGACCTTCCATCAGAAAAGTACCATAATGCTCCATTCATATTAATGATACTTTGCAGTGAATATCAAGCTTGGTGTTCTACATGTATGTGTATGACGGAATGTTCATCAGTTACCATGGTGACACAAAGATACATAAGCAAGCACTGCAAAAAAAGTGTTTAGATTGTCGAAAAATCTTGATTTAAAGAGCACATTTTCAGGAGTTTGTGATCAGTTCAGTGTTCATGGAGCTGTTTAGGAGTTTGATTTTCAACAAAAAGGTGAAAGTGCCTAAGTGAAAAACTGTTGGATAATTCTAGCTACCTTATGACTGTGAGTACAGGACTTGTTTAACAGCACAATTCATCTTGCTTATTTTAGTTCCAACTAAGTCTTTCTGGTCAAATGTATTAAAACAAAACAAGCCTCAGACACAGCAGTGCCTACTGTTAGCATCACATCCCACCAGGAAATGCTGATGACATCAGCTGCAAAGTGTCAATCCCTGAGATAAAGCGGAGAACCTGTACATTTTGGTACTTTGAGAGCCCTGCCCCTCATAAGTCATGAGTGTGCTTACAAGCTCCATCTCTGAGTCTGAGTCTGAGTCTGAATCGGAGCTTGAACCGGTCTGATTGGCTGTGGGGTGCACATGGTGAGCAGCAGCCTGCCTGCGCTCACCTCTGCTGGGGGGACGGGTGACGTAGGGGTGGAGTTTGACCCGAGGAAAGGAGCAGCTGGTGAAGGAGTAGATGTGTGAAACACATTTCTGGTGGGATTTCTCTATGGGTATGTTTTTGAGCAGGAAAGAACTTTATTAGAACTCTTTTCTAAATGCAGAATATTAAATAATGAGTTGTGGAGGGGCAGTTACCATGGAGACGTTATTGCATGTTCCACAGTATGGCATTCATTTCATTTATCTTACATACAACTAATAAGAGATTTTTTGTTGCTTTAAAATACACTGAAACATTTCACAGGTCTGACCTGTTAGATTGTCTGATGACGTCGGGTGCTATCTCCATGGAGATAATTATGTATAATGCCATAATGTGGAACATTCCAAACAAAGCAATAAAGCAATAAATCCAGGGGGACAAGTAGATGGCAGACATTCCACCAGAAAAACTACATAATGCTCCTTTAATATTTATATGGATACTTTGCAGTGACATCCCCAGGGGGTTCTACATGTATGTGTATGGAGAAATGTTCATCAGTTACCTGAGGTGGGGACATGCAAGTTGTGACTTGGACTTGAATCAGATTTGAGTTACTATTTTTAGGACTTGAGACTTGACTTGATAAAATGGACTATGACTTGGGACTTGACTTGGACTTGAAGGTCAGTGACTTGAGGCCTGTGACTTGAGAAGACTTGAAAAGCACTTTTCACATTATGAATTATTTCTGTTTTGACTGTAATGTCTTGTCAAGACATTTAGAAAGGAAAAGTTTGCATTTGTACTACTCTTATATACTCTATAAATACTTATAAATAAATATAATATGACTTTATAAGTACAATTTAGCTTAAAATTCAATTAAATTGCAGAAATCTAAACTAATACTAATACTAATACTAATCTATACTTTGGTTTAAAGACTTGAAATGACTTGAAGCTCAAAGCAGATGACTTGGACTTGACTTAGACTTATGGGCCAGTGACTCAAGACTCGACTTGGACTTGTCTGTATTTGACTTGGGACTTGACTCAGACTTGAAGTCAAAGACTTGAGACTTACTTAAGACTCGCAAAACAACAACTTGGTCCCACCTCTGTCAGTTACTATGGTGACAAATAAAAGTTTTTAGATCGTTTGAATACTAAAAAATACAAAATGGGTTTAAACAGCACATTTTCAGGAGTCTGTGACTGCTGTGAGCAGCAGCCTGCCCGCGCTCACCCTCTGCTGGGGGGACGGGTTGACGTAGGGGTGGAGTTTGACCCGAGGAAAGGAGCAGCTGGTGAAGGAGTAGATGTGTGTGCTGTGGGTGACGTCGTAGAAGCCCACCTCACCCTCCTCGATGCTGACGAAGACCCCGATCTTTTGGGGGGTGTGGGGGGTGTGGATCTCCTTAGGAGGGCGGTCACTGGCGGTCAGGGTGCCGTCCAGGAGAGTGAGGACGGCGAAGCCCGTGCTGAGGTGCGGTGTAATCGGACCTTTTCTGTCCGCTGTCTCCAAGGCAATTCCAATCTCCCAAGATGCAACATCCTCCACCTGGACCTGCAGAACAGAACATAATATGAGTCCAGGATCAGAAATGTGTGTGCACTTTACTCTCTTCAATCACAACTATTCTGCAAACTGTTCAGCACATTTGTTTCTTTGATTAAGTTGTTTGAGATGAAGACTGTCATTTAAAATGTCCAAATTATAACAGAATGATCCACAAGGGTCAAAGATTAGAACAATACAAGCACAATTTATCATCTTTAATATAATTCTTCACTCTACAGCTCAGAATATTGTATTATTTCACAACATTTCAACATTTATTCATTTGTATTTGTAGGAAGTGGTAACTTCCAAACTGTTGTCTCTCAATAACAGACCATCCCAAGAGCCTGTGGCTGAAGAAGCACCTACTGATACTTTGCAGCTGATGTCATCAGCATTGGGGGTGTAAAGTGAACTGTAGGCACTGCTCTGTCTGAAGTTGTTACTCAAGTTCAACTTGAATCTGAGCTTTGTTTGAACATAGTCTGACCAGAAAGAGCTGATTTATCTACAACTACAAGAGGTGAACAGATCTGTGCTTATGATTTGTTTTATGTTACACATAATATTACAGTCACAATCGAGCTGGCATTATCCAGTCAGTTTTCAGTAGTCACTCTCATCTTTCTGTTGAAAATCAAACTCCTAAACAGGAGCATGAACGCTCGTATTGATCACTGACTCCTGAAAATGTGCTGCTTAAATCCATTTCATTTCTTGAGGTTTACATTTATCTAAAAACTTTTTTGACTGTGTTTGTTTATGTGTCCAGTGTGTGTCTCCATGGTAACAGCTGAACATTCCACCATAGAGATGCATATAGAACACCCCCAGCATGATGTGACTGCAAAGTATCAATACCACAATTGAGTGAGGCTGAGAAACGGCAGCGTGTCGTGTCTGACCTCGAAGTAGAAGGTCCCTGAGGAGTAGCCCTGTTTGGAGAGCACCCCTGTGAGAGTGTCGAAGCGCTGGGGCAGATCGGGGAGGGTCTGGACTACTTCAGCGTGACACACCTCTCTGCCATCAGAGGAGAGCTGCAGGGCTGTGTGAGCAGTGTCCATGTCCAGAGTCACCTGCACTGCAGAACACAGCACCGTATAAAACAAATCACCAAACCATGAAAAGAATAAAAATACACCTTCAACTCAAAAGGGACTTTATTTACAAAACTATTAAAACCACACTGCGGAACATTCCTATCAGAATACTGCTACTCGGGACACACCTACCCACACCTGTGGAGGCAGATCTGGAAACAGATCTCCACATGTCCCATGAAACAAGACTAAATGTGTCATAGTGAAAATCATCCACTGTAGATAGAAGTGGACTGAGGGAGTGTTTGGCTCCAGCCAATGTGGAGCTCCTAGAAACTGAAACTAAAAGTGAATATTTTGAGGTACTTACCTGCGTACTGCCGGACTCTCCTGACCTCTGTGGAGACAAGCACAGATCAGGTCCTGGATCATTCACATCAAAGGAGACGTGAGCGTGGAAATGAGAGCTTACCTTTAGTCTCCAGAGCCTTCATTCCCTCCTTCACTGCAACACCCATCTCCGCCAGTATTTTGAGCAGAGCGCTCCGAGACGTCCCCACTGCAGAGTCACTGTAAGGACTGATGTGGGACCAGTCCTCCAGGTGTGGGGCTACTCCCAGAGACGCCCAGTTCTGAGGGATCACCACCAACATGGGTGAGCGAAGAAGAAGAGAAGAAGAAGAAGAAGAAGAAGAAAAAAGAAGAAGAAGAAGAAGAAGAAGGCAGAGCCACGAGCACTGACTAAAACTTACACATGTCCATCGACTTACACCAGGACTAAATGCAGATACTTTAGTCAAATAAAAATTCAGGTGTTTTGTTGAAAAATAAAAACTCAAGATAAAGGAATGAAAGTTCTGAGTGGAGACCAGAGCCAAGTTCCACTTTTCCATCCCAGAGTCAAACCAGAGCATAACAAATTCACTGTCCATCAACATGTCTGGACATTCATCAATAACATGCTATTTATCAGAAATTACAAATCAAAACATAAGAAACAAAAAGACCTGGCAGCATGGATTGATAGACGAAGACAAATTTCCAACTCATGGGACAATAGTTTAGTCTTGAATAATACCTGCAGTATATATCTTATATTTGCAGTACATATCTTATACCTGCAGTACATGTCTTATATTTGCAGTACATATCTTATACCTGCAGTACATGTCTTATATTTGCAGTATACGTCTTATACCTGCAGTACATATCTTATACATGCAGTATATATCTTGTACATGCAGTACATATCTTGTACATGCAGTACATATCTTATACCTGCAGTACATATCTTGTACATGCAGTACATATCTTGTACATGCAGTACATATCTTGTACATGCAGTACATATCTTGTACTTGCAGTACATATCTTATACCTGCAGTAGGTGCAGTCCGTCCTCGGCCTGGGACAGCCTCGTGAGCGTCCCTTGTCTTCTCTCCAGCTGTTGGACCTCAGTCTGCAGCTTCTTCTTCATGTTCTCTGTTTGGTCTGAGTTCTTTTTCTTCAGATGGAGGAGTGCAGCCACCACTGCCGCCTGCTTCAGTTTGAGAAGCTCCTGCATCAGCCCCGTGAGCATCATCACGTCTGCAACATCTGAAACCGCGTTCTTCTGCAACCACAATCCACACAAGACTTTAGAGAAATGCTCATAGGAAAACTGAGAAGGTCAAAGGGGCTGTACACAATCAATTTCATGCACTAAAGCAAAACAGGTATGTGGCATCTTTCCACTGGTTTGCTTTAGAGCAAATCCGTCCAGTCCAAAAGTGTCTTATAGGTCTTATTTTATGCAAAACTGACTCCAGCTTTTAGCCATTTTAGAATGTTGTTACTTCATCAAAAACATACTTATTTGTGCTTTGTTTCATTCACATGCTTCAGATATTATCAGTCTGTTTACATCTCCTAAGCTCAAAATGCTCTGGTTCAACTTGTGATTCATGAAGAAGTAGTTAATAGCTACATTTTCCCTTTTGTTCAGTACAGATTGGAATTTCTGGGCTGAAATCGTCCAAATGATTCTAGTGAAGGTGTATGGAGTTTAAAATCACAGTAGAGCAGTGGAACAGTGTGTTTGTTTTTTTTTTACCTCCAAGATGTTCTCGGTCTCAGTGTACTTCTCCATCAGGGCTCTTCTCTCTTGGATCTTCTGCTGCACTTCACCCAGCTCCTGTTCCACCTGAGCCTGCGCCACACAGAATACATTATTATCAACCCCTCCTCCTTCCTCACTCTCCCCTTTAGTTTTTCAGACCCTGCCCCTTGTCACTCTCCCCTTCAGTCCTCCAGACCTCTTCGCTCACTCTCCCCCTTTAGTCCTATAGACCTTGCCCCTCCTCCCCTTCAGTCTGTCCAGTCCATCTTCTCCCCTGAGACCCCCCCTTTAATCATCCTGATGCTGCACTCCTCTTTCTCACTCTTCCCTTTAGTCCAACAGACCCTGCCCTCACTCACTCTCCTCGTTATCCTCCAGACTCCATCTCTCCTCCCTCCTCCCATCCCCCTTTAGTCCTCCAGGAAGCTTTAAAAAGTTCTCCATCGCCAGTTTAACCCATATCCTGTATCCTGTAGAAGTGGACCAGGGGAGTGTGACGTCGTCCAGTCAAATGAAGTTCATCGAGGCTGGAAGTTATGTGGCAAATTTCAGGCCCAGTTCCATATTTGGAATTTCGAGGAGTATCAAAGCAACCAAAGAGCCAGTCAGGAGTAAGGCTGTTGAAGGTGTGACAAACCGCCGTCCAAATTTGAGACGGTCCAACCACAGCCGCTCATTTGTGGCTCGTGTCTCTCCAGTACAGAAGACATCTCCTCTCGAAAATTCTCATAACATTCAGAACAAAATGTATAACTTCTTTTACCTGAGAAGTCATAGTTTGGTGCTTCGATTGTTGATTCTGTAAAAATGTGCACTGTTTCTAAATTCTTTATGTAGTTTTTTTTCACTTTGTTATGTGTAAGCAGCCATGTTTGTTTTGGATGTGAATGGTGGCTCCAGATAAACTCATTTTTGCAAAGTTTTTTTCAAAGCGTGTGGTTCTGACTGGACAGGTAATGTTAGCGGGAGTGACCACGGGGACAGAAAGCACCTGATTTGTCTCTTATTAATGGTCATATATTGAAATTAAAATCAGGATCATGTAGCAGTTGTCAGTGTTGGGTGTAACGCAATGACTTTTTTCAGGTGAAAATAGTGTAACAAGCTACTACAGAAAATTTGGTAACGATACGTAGTTCCTTTATCAATTCAGCACATTACTTTTCTGTGTACGAAGCCCATTCCTGCCCTGGCGGCGTGTCACAGTCGGGGAGGACAGTCCACCCCGGTCGACAGTCACGCCGGGAGCAGGGTGCCCCATCCCAACCTGGGCAGAGAGAGCACAGTGAGCACCCATGGCTCCGGGAAGTGGTGAGGTCCTGGCGGGAGGAGCTGCAGAACACCCCTCGAGCCTTTCCTGACCGACCCAGAGCTGGTGGTGGTGCACCACCTCGGAGGTCAGCAGGGACCAGTGACACCAGGGAAGACGTCCCTCAAGGGGATCCTCCGCGCTACGCTGACCCTGTTTACCTCTTGATGGTTTCACGTCCTCTTGAACTTTCTCTTCAATCTTCTTTTCAGATTTCCCTTACGGTTCTTGTCGACTATCAGTCTCGTGCCGTATTTAGCCTTAGATGGAGTTTACCACCAAAAAGTAACAAGTAACATAAAAATGTACTTTCCATAGTGTGTAACTAAGTAAAGTAAGGGATTACTTTTTAAAGAACTAACAAGTAAGGGGCAAACGTTACTTTTTAAAGTAACTTTCCCAACACTGGCAGTTACAGAGAGAGACAACGATCTTTCACTAGAAAGTGAATTGAAACCAGAGTAAGTTGGTGCTGGAAACATGCCCATGCTCACTTCCTGTTTAGAGGCGGGTTATCTATGTTCACTTAAACCCAGCGTTTGGTTTAACCCTGTGTCCTGTGGGAGGTGTGGTGAGAGTGTGGTACCTTCTTGTTCCTCAGGCGGTTCTTCAGAGGAACACATCTGTGGTCTTGATGTTCTGAGCTGATGCAGGTCACACACACAGCCGTGAGGTGATCGTGACACACCAGGTCCAGAGGAGAGGAGTGCTGCTTACACACTCTGCACACACAACAACACTTGGTTTGGTGGGATAGTACTTGTCCTAAATACTTATCATGGTTTGTGGCAGTTTGAAGTGCGAGGAAAAACACAAAATACAGATATAGAATATAGAATTGATACTTTACAACTGTAGGCTCTGCTCTGTCTGAAGCTCAGTTAGATTTACAGTAATCTGGCCCAGTGGCCCAATCTGTATTCTAACAAACTCTAACCACAACTACAACCAGTGTGATGACTTTAAACAAGTCTCTTGCACAGAACATTAAAGTCACATGCTAGAATTAGCGAACAGTTTTTCAGTTCGTCGCTTTCTCCTTTTTGTTGGAAATCAAAAACCTAAACAGGACCATGAACACTCATTCTTTTTTGACTAGTGTGTCTTCATTGTAACTGCTCAACATTCTACTATAAACATACAAGAACACCCCAGCGCGATGCTGCAAAGTATCAATGAAATGTTACATTAGAGTAACTATGTTTTGGTGTAGTGTCACCTGTGTGCACTTAAAGATGTACACAGAAACAAACATGGGTAATATGCTGCTGTGTTTAGGCAGCACAGTCATGTCTGAGGAGGATTACACCGCTGAGAGTTAAGCACCAGTTCTGGCACGAATTTTGGCACCAAGTGAAAGAGAAACTAAACTATATGACAGGGGAACTCCAGGGTGATGCAATGTGCACTTTAAAACATATACAAACACTACATGTGGAATATGATTCTGTTTCTAAACCCAATTTCAAGACAAACTATTTAAAACATGTGAAAGAAGTGAAATATAGCAAACATTTGTAGAAAAAGTAGTTTGTAGTTTGATGATTACATAATATGTTGTTCTGCTTTTGCAAATCTTGACCTTTTAAAAAAAATTGAAAACATATGAAAAAGTGAAATATAGTAAGCCCTTGAAGAAAATACAGCAAAAATACAGCAAAACTAGATTTTCATTATGTAATATGTTCTGTTTTTGTGGCATAGTCTTGGGGTTTGAAGCAGGAGTTTTGGCAGGTGAAAGAGGAAACACTAGACCTGGAATAAGATCTAGTCCCTAGTGCCAATTTCAACCCGAACTATTTAAAAATGTGAAGGAAGTGAAATATAGTAAGCATTTGTAGAATGCATCAGAATTAGTAGATGACTGGATGCACTGATCCAGATTTTTCAGTTCCAATACTTATCCCAGTACTATAGCTTTAAGGCTACATTTACACATAGTCGGGTATGTTGAGAAACAAATGTTTCCCTCTCTCTGTTTTCCAAAATAACATTGTGCACACAGCATCGTTTTCAAAAAAGTTTTCACTTACAAGCCTGTGGGCAGCACCTGGATTAGATTCAAATCTGTAGCATTTATTTCATTACAGTTGTAAGTATTACTCACAAATACCTTGAAAACTTTACATTACTGAGTGGGCTCGCCTCTCCACAGATCTGTTAAAGAAGTGGTAAAATGACTGACCTCAGCTCATTGGTCTCTGGTCATGGATCTGATCCTTCAGCTGTGTGTGCAAATGCAAACACATGAAAAGTGTTTCACCAGGAGAAATGTGACTGCTGCTCTGATGCTTCCTCATCATCATCATTATAACAAAAAGGAAAGGTTTTCAGCGTGTCAGCTCCTAAAACTCAGTTTATCTCACTTTACATGCAAATGTCAAACCATAGTCTTCCAGAATCTCCACTCTAGCCGGAGTTTTTAGAAAGATTTGTTTTCATAGGCGAATTCTCCATTCACGTGTAAAAAAAATGGGAACAAACGAAGGGAAATGTCTCCATTTTTAAAAACACCCGTGTACGTGTAAACAGGGCCTAAGTATCTGCTGATACTTGATATATCAACCGATACCAGTACAGAGACTGAAAGAGAATTTATTTCCTTTAAAACTAAAATAAAATAAGCCTAAACTGATCCTAATGTATTATGTATCTCTGAAGTAACTACAGACATGTAAATAGTCTTATTACATCATTGTATATGTCCAACCTGGATATCGGCTGAACCAATATTATTAACAATGTGATATCAGATACCAGCACTCCTAATGATCGGGTAATATGTTGTTCCATTTAGGCAGTGCTCCTTTGTGGTGTGCTTTTGTCTAAACCTGCTGAGTGGAATCTGAAATACTGAGAGATGTGGCACGGGTTTTGGCACAAAGTGAAGGAGAAACCAAACAGCAGGACAGGGGAATTCCACTGACATATATATTTTAAATAAAATATATGAGTACAAGAGTAATTGACAAAAGGTTTAGGCTGACAATATGAAATGATTTGAACATCTGTGTGTCTTGCAGCTCTTCTTCAGATATGATTTAGTCTGTCTCATTTTTGTGTCTGAAAATAACAGATTTAAGATCAAATTATAAATTGGATATTACAACAAGCAGTATTTTCCCCCAAAACAGGTAGTACTTTCCCCCAAAACACGCAGTACTTTCCCCCAAAACAGGCAGTACTTTCCCCCTAAACAGGCAGTACTTTCCCCCTAAAACAATTAGTACTTCCCTAAAACCCTTTTATATATTATATTAAGTATAAGTATCTGTACTCTTACTAAAATTATTATTATTATTTTTTTGGTTACTCTATTCAAGTCTGTATGAATGTTTCTAATGAGGGAAGAGCATTACATGTTCTACATTATGTAAAACTGACTCTTGTGATTAGAAAACAAAAACATATCTGGAGTTGTGTTTTGTTTCATTCACACATGAGTAATCCTGCATTATGAGTGTGTGTGTGTTCTGACCTGGCCTGCAGGCGGTGCACAGGTTTCAGCAGTTCATGTACCATGAGTTGGGGCTCCCTCTGGTGGCCGCGCAGGTGCTCAGAGCAGTAGGACTCCTCACAGTGCAGACAGGAGCGCACCGCCCGCACACTCCTGCCCCCGACTGCACACGGCCCACACTGGACGTCAGGAGGAGGGGAGGGCTGAGTGGGGGAGGCCTGTGGACAGTCCTGTGTGTGGACACGTCATCATGTGACATTAGTTCATTTATCTCAGTTTAATTCCACATATCTACTGTTTTTCTTAAAGGCTCCATATTAAACTATTTTATTTGAGTGCTATTGTAGTTTCTTCATCATAAACAGACAGACAGAGTTGTGTTTTGTTTCATTCACACACGTTTAACACACAAACCCTGCGAATTTAGGCTGAGTTCTTCTCTCAAACAGAAAACACCACTTGGTGATGTCATGTAGTAATACAGGAAGTGCTCCACTGTGTTTTTAAACTCCTTACACTTTCACTAGAATCATTTGGATAATTTTAGTTCTGTAACTGCCCATCTTTCCTGAACTAAAGGTAAAAAGTAGCTCTTAACTTACAGCTTTGTGACTTCAGAAGTTGGAATAAAAAAAATACAAATAAAAAATTCAGGTTTGTTTTTGGTGAGGTAACAGAGTTATAACATGACAACACTCACAAGAGTCAGTTCTGCACAATATGTGGAGTTAATGTGATTAACTGAGATTCAGGAGCTGGACCACACCTCAAACATGACTCATCTCAACCACACCTTCAGTTACCCACAAGCCCCATTTATAAGGCCATCCTGAAATCACCGCTGTGTCAGCTCTCTTCAGCCCCTCCCACCCGTGTCTCTCAACCATCCTTCTGTCCAAACACATCATCTTTAAGGAGGGGGATTCTGAATCAGTTGGATTTCTGTATTGGAGAAAGAGCCCCCACCCTGAGCCCCCCCCCAGCATCACATCTATCCACCGTCAATAAACATCTTATCATATTCCACTTTTGTGACGTGGTCCTTGATAGTGAAAGGACCTTTAATGTACTTATTAGAAACATACCTGCATATCTTTTTTTGTATTTTCTTTCTATATTTATTGTCATGTTTTTCCCATTGTTCTTTATTTGAATTATGGTGGATTGGAAACAGGTCTTATTAGTTTGATCACCTACTAAATAACTACATTTGAACGTAGTTTTATTTTTTGCTAGTACAATTACATTTTTGTTTACATCCATTACATGTGATAAGGATTATGGTATGATTATGTTCAAATCAGGGTCACACTGACTAGTCCATTCTAACGTGAAAGGACAAATGCTTTGACAGTTAAAATAGATTTGACAGATACTATTTTGATGGTGTTTTCTTTTTTAAAAGTAAACTACTCTCATTTCATGTCATATTGAGAGAAAATTAAATTGCTCTGAGGCCTCAGCTGTAAGTGGCACTCAGGGTAACAGGTTAACTCCAAGTCTGCTTCTGATGAGGTAACAGCATAATAACATGACTTAAAGCTCGCAAGAGTCCATTTTGTGTAATATTGGACATTTAAAAATAAATTTGACTACTTTATGGGACTGGCATGTCTTTCACTGCTCCCCTGCTCCTGAAATATTGTCTGTTCACTCTGCTGTCTGAGGAGGATTACACCGCTGAGAGTTAGGCACATGTTCTGCCACGAGTTTTGGCACAAAATGGAAGAGAAACCAAACAGGAGCAGAGAGAACTCCACTGACAGAGGAGGGTCATGTAGTGTGCACTGAAGACTTATTCAAACACTACACTTGGATACAGTTAAAATACAGTTCCTAAACACAGTTTGAGTGTTATAATGCTTTAACTCTAAAAATGAAGCAGTTGTAGATTTAGTTTACTCAAATAACTCCAAAATCAACTCTTTATATTTTTTTGTGTGTAATATAACAACGAAATGAAACATTTTTTTTTAGATTAACATGTTCCAGAAATAATCAATTTAGTCTGTTTTTACACATAAAATGCCTTATTTTATTTGAAATCATTAAAGACAAAAAATGTTGTAATAGGAGAAATTTCAAACTGATATTTAGAAAGTAAGATTTCCCTGCCGTGTCTGGTCTTAACTGTAAAGTAAAGTCAGTGATCTCCTACCTGAGGTGGAAGCAGGTCCCTCAGCAGAACGTTGGTGCTCAGCTGTGGTCTGCTGGAGAAGACCTGCTGACACAGAGGACATTTGACCACCGTAGAGCCACTCCAGTATGTGTCCAGGCAGCCCTTGCAGAAGTTGTGTCCACACGGGGTGGACACGGGCTGAGTGAAGGTGTCCAGACAGATGGGGCACTTCAGAGGAGAGGAGTTGAGAGGAGAGGAGCTGACAGTGGAGGAGTTTGAGCCCATGGTGAATCAGAACAAGTGGCGGACCTGAGCACACAAGCTTTATAACAACAAAGATCAGCTGAGAGAGACAGGGCGGTCGCAGGGGAAATTCCGAAGAGAATGAAAGTAAAACAGAGCAGTCACCGTGACCACACAAACACACCTGCCCTCATTTTCTAACACTGAGGTGAAAAGGTTGTATATTTGTGTTTATAGTTTTGCACACAATGCACAGGACACGTGGTGCGTAGAGATCTGATCTTGCCTTAAACAAAGCAGATCAAAGTGGAAAAACTAGAATCATGAATTTAGGACATAAAGGTGTGGCAAAGTGCTGTGTTTATCTGATGAGGAAATCATAAAAATTACATAAAAAAACAAATGTGTTATTTAGGCTCATTGTAAAATGTAGAAAATTTTAAATTATTATTAAGTCATTTTAGTTTAGAAAGTTTTTTTTTTGTTTTTTTTCTGTGTAAATTTTGCAAATACTAAATGTCAATTGAAAGTTCTCCTGAAAAGGCATCTTGTTATGCAACAGCAGTGTCCCAGAAAGATAACTCTCTAATCTGTTGTGTTGTAATTGCAGTGAGTAATGTCTCTGTCTTTCGCTTGATATAACCAGAGGCGGTGCTACCATAAGGCAAAAGTAACCTCAGCCCCCAACCTATTGCCCTCAGTGCCTAATGTGACCACGTTTACATGATGTTTTTTAAAATTCTGATTTAATTATTCCGAATTAAATAATTCAATTATTCTCCTTCGAGTTGACATGGAAATAATCATTCCGAATTAAGCTTTACATGGAAAACAAGTTCAATTGGATTTATTTAATTCTGCTCAGTGTCTCAGGGTAGGGAAGGGTTCTGATTGGACAGGGACGCGAATGTATTTACGTCAACCAGAAGAAAATACACACTTCAGCTGCTACCAGCTTTTCTGTCATATTGGTTTGTTGTTGCGTGGGGATGCGTACCACTGTTCCCCACCATTTGCACTGAGGACGGACAGAACAACAGAACAACATATAACCAACCGAACGGGATTCACGCTTCTCTCCGGATGTTTTGTGCCATCTCGGAACCAGCTGCAGCTCTGGAGCACAGACGACAGGAACAGCCCGTCCGGACCTGTAGTCCACAGCGCATTCTCTCTTTCGCTGCACGGATCCCATGGTTTATTTGCCCCCGTCTGGACCCAGCACATGGAGGATGGAGCCTATGGACCTGTCTGACCAACCTGCTCGGAGAACAACACAAGACCAAGGAGGGGCTGCATGCTATGGTGAGTGTTACCGTGTATTTACCGCAGTTACACGACTCAGAGCTTCTGGTCCAGGCTGATGTGCGGTGAGTTGTGTAAAGTTATTGGCTACATGCTGTTGTTTTATGAGTTCATGATGATAAGTTGGGATGAGGGCGGCTCGCGGTGTTAACGGGGAACCTCGGTACCTTTCACAATTACATAGGCACCGAAATGGAGAAGCACGGGGACACAAACATGATACAAACTATACACCATATTGCAGCGTGTCATCACATCAGGAGCCTGATCTAATGCGCAAATGCTGAACGACCGGAATTATTTTTTAAGCGGAATAAACTTTTAAAATAAACAATCGTGGAATTAGTTAATTTGGCTTTAAAATCGGAATAAACCACCCACTTAATTTGGATTTAAGTTTAATTCCAAATAAGTTTAATTCCAAATAATCATTAGGAATTAAGTGTTTACATGGTCTTTTTAAAGTGGAATACATTTTTATTCCAAATTAAATTATTTTTAATCAGAATTAAAGCTCTCATGTAAACGGGGCAAATATGACATTAAATGAGAGTAGTTTACTTTTAAACAATAATCATTATAATCAGCTCTGGTTTTCTAGTAGGTGAACCAACTAATAAGACAAGTTTCCAATCCACAATAATTCAAATAGAGATGTGCATGTCTCAAGAACAATGGGGAAAAACAGACAATAAATACATTAGAAAAACATCCATCCATCCATCCATCCATTTTCGTCCGCTTATCCGGGGCCGGGTCGCGGGGGCAGCAGCCTAAGCAGGGACTCCCAGACTTCCTTCACCCCAGACACGTCCTCCAGCTCCTCCGTGGGGACCCCGAGGTGTTCCCAGGCCAGCCGAGAGTGTTCCCGGAACACCTCCCGAAGGAGGCGCCCAGGAGGCATCCGAAACAGATGCCCGAGCCACAACTGGCTCCTCTCGACGTGGAGGAGCAGCGGCTCTACTCCAAGCTCCTCCCGTGTGACTGAGCTCCTCACCCCCCCCCCCCCCTTGAACCGTCACCTTATCGTGGTGGAGGGGTTTGAGTGCCCGAATGATCCCGGGAGCTATGTTGTCGGGGGCTTCATATCCCTGGTAGGGTCACCCAAGGCAAACAGGTCTACTGTATACTTTAAGGATCTCCTCAATCCCACCGTCACGTCTTCCGAGGAGGAGGCCGAGGCTGGGGACTCGAAGGCGGACTCATCCATCACCCTGGCCGAAGTCACTGAGGTGGTTGGAAAGCTCCTTGGTGGCAAGGCTCCGGGGTTGGATGAGATCTGTCCTGAGTACCTTAAGTCTCTGGATGTTGTGGGGCTGTCTTGGCTGACACGCCTCTTCAACATCGCGTGGCGGTCGGGGACAGTACCTCTGGACTGGCAAACCGGGGTGGTGGTCCCTCTGTATAAGAAGGGGGACCGGAGGGTGTGCTTCAACTATAGGGGGATCACACTCCTCAGCCTTCCCGGTAAGGTCTATGCCAGGGTGCTGGAGAGGAGAATCCGGCCGATAGTCGAACCTCGGATCCAGGAGGAGCAGTGTGGTTTTCGTCCTGGCCGTGGAACACTGGACCAGCTCTACACTCTCCATGCTCGAGGGTTCATGGGAGTTTGCCCAACCAGTCCACATGTGCTTTGTGGACTTGGAGAGTATGGGGTCCGGGGCCCTTTGCTAAGGGCTGTCCGGTCCCTATATGACCGGAGCAGGAGCTGTGTTCGCATTGCCGACAGTAAGTCAGACCTGTTCCCGGTGCATGTTGGACTCCGCCAGGGCTGCCCTTTGTCACCGGTTCTGTTCATTGTGTTTATGGACAGAATTTCTAGGCGCAGCCAGGGGCCGGAGGGGGTCCAGTTTGGGGACCACAGGATCTCATCTCTGCTGTTTGCGGATGATGTTGTCCTGTTGGCTTCATCGAACCAGGACCTGCAGTGTGCACTGGGGCGGATGAAGATCAGCTCTTCTAAGTCTGAGGCCATGGTTCTCGACCGGAAAAAGGTCGCTTGTCCTCTCCAGGTGGGTGGGGAGTCGTTTGCCTCAAGTGGAGGAGTTCAAGTATCTCGGGGTCTTGTTCACAAGTGAGGGGAGGACGGAACGTGAGATTGACAGGCGGATCGGTGCAGCTTCGGCAGTGATGCGGTCGCTGTATCGGACCGTTGTGGTGAAGAGGGAGCTGAGCCGAAAGGCGAAGCTCTCGATTTACCGGTCAGTCTTCGTTCCTACTCTCACCTATGGTCATGAGCTCTGGGTAGTGACCGAAAGGACGAGATCGCAGATACAAGCGCTTGAAAAACATTAGAAAAACAAAACAAAAAAATGGTGCATCATAGTGAACTCAAGTTCACCTGGGGCCCTCAAATAGTTTTTTTATTATGTATTTTTATTTTTTTATTATGATGTGAATTCTGTATGTAAATGCTCCATAAAAGACAATGACTCCTGGAAGAATAGCTGCGCTTCCACAGCTAGTGGAGGTCAAAATAAACACAAAAATACAAATCTGGACCCTCAGGAATAAAAGAATTCAATCTTTATTGGACCCACAATGGGGAAAGTGCAGTGTTGCAACAACAGAGTACAAAAGGGTATCATTACACCTGTATTTAAAATATAAATTATTATTCATTAACAAACACATGCTACAATAATCTTAACAATATAATTTATGAATGATCAGTAAACTTTAAAGAATGTTACAGATTCAAAAGAACACATATCCATAGATGTTTAAGTAATAGAATCTCTCTAAATAAACTAAATGTAAAATGGATCGTAGCTTTGGTGCTGCAGTTAGAATCATTTCATCATAATGTGGAACATGTATGTACAAGTCAAAGAAGCTCCTGATGACATGTCTCTGTGTAAGGTCAGAGGATGAAGAGAACTCAGAACATCTGAGTTACGATGAGGGCAGATGAACTTTAAAAACATGGAGGAGCTTCATAATATATTATGTGAAACTAATTTCTGAAGAGTATGGGTATGTTTTTGAGCATGAAAGTAAAAGTTTGTGTAATTCCTCAGTCGTCCATACAGGATCCATAGCAATATTACAATTCTATTCCAGCATTTTTTGTTGCTTAAAAATACATAGAGTGGGTCGCCTCTTCACAGATCTGACTTATAACATGGGCTGGTGACATCTGGTGTTTGTCTCCATGGAGATAATTACATGCAAAGCAATAAAGCAATGAATCCACGACAAGCTCGTGCAGACCTTCCATCAGAAAAGTACCATAATGCTCCATTCATATTTAATGGATACTTTGCAGTGACATCAAGCTTGGTGTTCTACATGTATGTGTATGACGGAATGTTCATCAGTTACCATGGTGACACAAAGCATACATAAGCAAGCACTGCAAAAAAAAGTGTTTAGATTGTCGAAAAATCTTGATTTAAAGAGCACATTTTCAGGAGTTTGTGATCAGTTCGAGTGTTCATGGAGCTGTTTAGGAGTTTGATTTTCAACAAAAAGGTGAAAGTGCCTAAGTGAAAAACTGTTGGATAATTCTAGCTACCTTATGACTGTGAGTACAGGACTTGTTTAACAGCACAATTCATCTTGCTTATTTTAGTTCCAACTAAGTCTTTCTGGTCAAATGTATTAAAACAAAACAAGCCTCAGACACAGCAGTGCCTACTGTTAGCATCACATCCCACCAGGAAATGCTGATGACATCAGCTGCAAAGTGTCAATCCCTGAGATAAAGCGGAGAACCTGTACATTTTGGTACTTTGAGAGCCCTGCCCCTCATAAGTCCATGAGTGTGCTTAAATCAAGCTCCATCTCTGAGTCTGAGTCTGAGTCTGAATCGGAGCTTGAACCGGCCTCTGATTGGCTGTGGGGTGCACATGTGACCGGGGTGAGCAGCAGCCTGCCCGCGCTCACCCTCTGCTGGGGGGACGGGTTGACGTAGGGGTGGAGTTTGACCCGAGGAAAGGAGCAGCTGGTGAAGGAGTAGATGTGTGTGCTGTGGGTGACGTCGTAGAAGCCCACCTCACCCTCCTCGATGCTGACGAAGACCCCGATCTTTTGGGGGGTGTGGGGGTGGTGAATCTCCTTAGGAGGGCGGTCACTGGCGGTCAGGGTGCCGTCCAGGAGAGTGAGGACGGCGAAGCCCGTGCTGAGGTGCGGTGTAATCGGACCTTTTCTGTCCGCTGTCTCCAAGGCAATTCCAATCTCCCAAGATGCAACATCCTCCACCTGGACCTGCAGAACAGAACATAATATGAGTCCAGGATCAGAAATGTGTGTGCACTTTACTCTCTTCAATCACAACTATTCTGCAAACTGTTCAGCACATTTGTTTCTTTGATTAAGTTGTTTGAGATGAAGACTGTCATTTAAAATGTCCAAATTATAACAGAATGATCCACAAGGGTCAAAGATTAGAACAATACAAGCACAATTTATCATCTTTAATATAATTCTTCACTCTACAGCTCAGAATATTGTATTATTTCACAACATTTCAACATTTATTCATTTGTATTTGTAGGAAGTGGTAACTTCCAAACTGTTGTCTCTCAATAACAGACCATCCCAAGAGCCTGTGGCTGAAGAAGCACCTACTGATACTTTGCAGCTGATGTCATCAGCATTGGGGGTGTAAAGTGAACTGTAGGCACTGCTCTGTCTGAAGTTGTTACTCAAGTTCAACTTGAATCTGAGCTTTGTTTGAACATAGTCTGACCAGAAAGAGCTGATTTATCTACAACTACAAGAGGTGAACAGATCTGTGCTTATGATTTGTTTTATGTTACACATAATATTACAGTCACAATCGAGCTGGCATTATCCAGTCAGTTTTCAGTAGTCACTCTCACCTTTCTGTTGAAAATCAAACTCCTAAACAGGAGCATGAACGCTCGTATTGATCACTGACTCCTGAAAATGTGCTGCTTAAATCCATTTCATTTCTTGAGGTTTACATTTATCTAAAAACTTTTTTGACTGTGTTTGTTTATGTGTCCAGTGTGTCTCCATGGTAACAGCTGAACATTCCACCATAGAGATGCATATAGAACACCCCCAGCATGATGTGACTGCAAAGTATCAATACCACAATTGAGTGAGGCTGAGAAACGGCAGCGTGTCGTGTCTGACCTCGAAGTAGAAGGTCCCTGAGGAGTAGCCCTGTTTGGAGAGCACCCCTGTGAGAGTGTCGAAGCGCTGGGGCAGATCGGGGAGGGTCTGGACTACTTCAGCGTGACACACCTCTCTGCCATCAGAGGAGAGCTGCAGGGCTGTGTGAGCAGTGTCCATGTCCAGAGTCACCTGCACTGCAGAACACAGCACCGTATAAAACAAATCACCAAACCATGAAAAGAATAAAAATACACCTTCAACTCAAAAGGGACTTTATTTACAAAACTATTAAAACCACACTGCGGAACATTCCTATCAGAATACTGCTACTCGGGACACACCTACCCACACCTGTGGAGGCAGATCTGGAAACAGATCTCCACATGTCCCATGAAACAAGACTAAATGTGTCATAGTGAAAATCATCCACTGTAGATAGAAGTGGACTGAGGGAGTGTTTGGTTCCAGCCAATGTGGAGCTCCTAGAAACTGAAACTAAAAGTGAATATTTTGAGGTACTTACCTGCGTACTGCCGGACTCTCCTGACCTCTGTGGAGACAAGTACAGATCAGGTCCTGGATCATTCACATCAAAGGAGACGTGAGCGTGGAAATGAGAGCTTACCTTTAGTCTCCAGAGCCTTCATTCCCTCCTTCACTGCAACACCCATCTCCGCCAGTATTTTGAGCAGAGCGCTCCGAGACGTCCCCACTGCAGAGTCACTGTAAGGACTGATGTGGGACCAGTCCTCCAGGTGTGGGGCTACTCCCAGAGACGCCCAGTTCTGAGGGATCACCACCAACATGGGTGAGCGAAGAAGAAGAAGAAGAAGAAGAAGAAGGCAGAGCCACGAGCACTGACTAAAACTTACACATGTCCACTGACTTACACCAGGACTAAATGCAGATACTTTAGTCAACTAAAAGTTCAGGTGTTTTGTTGAAAAATAAAAACTCAAGATAAAGGAATGAAAGTTATTCCAGACACGCTCACTCAATGTGATGTGGGCAGCACCGCCGAATGCTACTCCACTAGTTGTGCCCCCGCAAGCACTTGGTGCCCTACACACTGTGCGTAATGTGAATAATGGGGAGTGATGGTACTGCTTGAATCTTATACCTGCAGTACATATCTTGTACATGCAGTACATATCTTGTACTTGCAGTACATATCTTATACCTGCAGTAGGTGCAGTCCGTCCTCGGCCTGGGACAGCCTCGTGAGCGTCCCTTGTCTTCTCTCCAGCTGTTGGACCTCAGTCTGCAGCTTCTTCTTCATGTTCTCTGTTTGCTCTGAGTTCTTTTTCTTCAGAAGGAGGAGTGCAGCCACCACTGCCGCCTGCTTCAGTTTGAGAAGCTCCTGCATCAGCCCCGTGAGCATCATCACGTCTGCAACATCTGAAACCGCGTTCTTCTGCAACCACAATCCACACAAGACTTTAGAGAAATGCTCATAGGAAAACTGAGAAGGTCAAAGGGGCTGTACACAATTGGTTAAATTCTAAAAGTAGCTCTAGGGTAAAATGTGTGCTGTCTGCATCCAATTACTTTTATCCTTTGTGAACCAGGAAGCAAGGCTTGTGTGCTGTTAGCATGCTAGTTGTTGTTAGCACTATTATGGCATCCAAACTCCACGCTGGTCTTGAAGTTTTGAAAAGTGATTATCTCCTCATCGCAGTGAATAATTAGGATGCTAGGAATGCGTTAGAAAATTAAGTACTTTGGACCACTGGAAATGGTTTAAAACTGTCCTGTTCAGTTAAAATCAAGTACATAAGATATATTTTAGAGAAACCTTGAGCCTTCCACTGTGTGTAGCAAAGCGGGCCAAAAATAAAATAAACACATGCACAGGTGCACAGGCATGTTTTGGGCTGGCTCAAGGTGTGGGGGAGTGGTGATATCCCCCTTTATAAAAATGCATTCACAATCATTCCAGGCCGATGGTGCAGATTGGCAGCCTCACTTCTGCCAGTCTGCCCCAGGGCAGCTGTGGCTACAGTAGTAGCTTACCACCACCAGGTATGGAGTGAATGAATAATGCTCTGTAAAGAGTCTTTGAGTGTCCAAAAACGCGCTATATAAAACTGATGCATAATTATTATTCTTATCATTCTGGTCTTGCCTTGGCAGTACAGTGAAATACTAAGTTGGATAATGATGTACCTCCAAGATGTTCTCACACTCAGTGTACTTCCCCATCAGGGCTCTTCTCTCCTCGAGCTTCTGCTGCACGTCACCCAGCTCCTGTTCCACCTGAGCCTGCACCACACAGAATACATTATTATCAACCTATTATCCTTTATGCCTCCAGACCCTGCCCCTCGCCCCCCTTGCTCTCCCCTTTAGTCCTCCAGGTTCCACTCCTCTTTCACTCTCACTCCCCTTTTTTAGCCGTCTAAACCCTACGCCACCCCTCATTCTCCCCTTTAGTCTGAGAGACCCTGCCCCTCTCTTGGGTTATCTATGTTCACTTAAACCCAGTGTTTGGTTTAACCCTGTGTCCTGTGGGAGGTGTGGTGAGAGTGTGGTACCTTCTTGTTCCTCAGGCGGTTCTTCAGAGGAACACATTTGTGGTCTTGATGTTCTGAGCTGATGCAGGTCACACACACAGCCGTGAGGTGATCGTGACACACCAGGTCCAGAGGAGAGGAGTGCTGCTTACACACTCTGCACACACAACAACACTTGGTTTGGTGGGATAGTACTTGTCCTAAATACTTCTAGGTAGAAGTATTGAGAAGAAGTATAGAGATGAAAAATACAAAAATACAAGAAGTAAAGGTGAGTTCTAAAATAGAATTGATGCTTTGTAGCTGCCATCACCATGTGACATCTGTGATGCTAAATAAGGTAACCTCTGGCTGCTTAAGAAATCATGCTTTGATGGTGCTCCACATACAAAATGTTGGCTGCAAACTCGGAATGAAGTTACCTTTTTGGTCCTTCCTGTGAATCAATACTGCCCAAGGTCTTCGCCTTTCACTATTTTTTAATTCTGTTGAGAAGGGAAACCGTTTGAACAGAGGTTTGCAGTCACACACATCTGATTCCCTTTTGCAGTTATGGAGCTCGCAAACTTCCGTAGCCCTTTTTCCGTTGTTAGGATCCAACAACCACACAATTATAATGTCCGAATCCCCAAACTAAAATACGATATCAGAACCAGAAACAAAAGTGATATGGTTCAAAAGACTAGAAAAGACTGACTTTGTCAATAGACTCATCCCACTGGGAAAACAAACATGGCGGTTTGATGCTCATTTTTTCAGAAGATCCTTCCCAGTATGAATTGTGCGATGACCGGAAGTCCGAAATTTGGGATACATGTATTTCTAATGTTTGGGTAATATGCTGTTCTGTTTGGGCAGCATTGCTTTGTGGTGTTCTTTTGTGTAAATCTGCTGAGTGGAATCTGAAATATTGAGAGTTAGGCACATGATGTGGCACGAATATTGGCACAAAGTGAAAGAGAAACCAAACAGATGACAGGGGAATTCCACTGACAGAGAAGGGTTATGTAATATGAAGGATTACTGCAATATATGTGAGGATGAAACAAAACACTACTCCAGGTACACAGTTACATTCACTTCAGTACTCTTAATATAAACATTGTGGTTCCTCTTCCCACTGTGAGTCTACAAGTGACAAAAGCTTTATGTTGACAATATAAATGATTTGATATACAGTTTAGTTTCTCTCATTTGTGTCTGTCCATTAAAAATAATCAGTGATAAGTAGCAAGTGAATAGTCATGAAGTCCTATTTTAAGTTTATAGAGTTGTGTGTGTATGTCTGTGTGCAGGCGTGTGTATGGGTGTGTGTGCGTGTGTGTTTGTGTGCAGGCATGTGTGTGCGTGTGAGTGTGTGTGTTCTGACCTGGCCTGCAGGCGGTGCACAGGTTTCAGCAGTTCATGTACCATGAGTTGGGGCTCCCTCTGGTGGCCGCGCAGGTGCTCAGAGCAGTAGGACTCCTCACAGTGCAGACAGGAGCGCACCGCCCGCACACTCCTGCCCCCGACTGCACACGGCCCACACTGGACGTCAGGAGGAGGGGAGGGCTGAGTGGGGGAGGCCTGTGGACAGTCCTGTGTGTGGACACGTCATCATGTGACATTAGTTATTACTATATCTATTTCTGTGTATTCTCATATTATGATCCACTATAATATTGTTTGTGTTCATTTACACATGTTTAACACGCAAACCCAGCATATTTAGGCTGAGTTCTAAAGTTTCAAACCGATATCTCTAAAGTAACATTTTGTCCTATTTCCCTGCCGTGTCTGGTCTTAACTGTAAAGTAAAGTCAGTGATCTCCTACCTGAGGTGGGAGCAGGTCCCTCAGCAGAACGTTGGTGCTCAGCTGTGGTCTGCTGGAGAAGACCTGCTGACACAGAGGACATTTGACCACCGTAGAGCCACTCCAGTATGTGTCCAGGCAGCCCTTGCAGAAGTTGTGTCCACACGGGGTGGACACGGGCTGAGTGAAGGTGTCCAGACAGATGGGGCACTTCAGAGGAGAGGAGTTGAGAGGAGAGGAGCTGACAGTGGAGGAGTTTGAGCCCATGGTGAATCAGAACAAGTGGCGGACCTGAGCACGCAAGCTTTATAACAACAAAGATCAGCTGAGAGAGGCGGAGCGGGGCGGGCAGGTGGAAATCCCACAGAGAGAATGAAAGTAAAACAGAGCAGTCATGAGATGTGCCCACATTCACATACTGTTTGCTTTTACTTTTCATCTAGATGATAAAGCGTGTGACTGTGTCACTGCATCATCTCTCCAAGAATATTAGTTGCAGATTAAAACAAAAACACATGCATTCTGTGAATATTTCCCTTTAAAGAGGGAGTATTTTACTTCTTTCAGGCATTTACTGTTAACAAATAACAGAGTGTATATAGATCACCATGTTCCCTTGTATTATTTTGAAAATGCTATATTCACATAAAACAACGTATTAACATGTTTTAGAAGTTAAAATTTTGTTTTTGATGCTCTGAGTCTCTTTACAACATAATCAGTGTGGATCCCGCTAATGAATCTACTGCACACCACATCAGGTTTGTCAGGTTGTTGTGTACAGTTTTGTGTCATGTTTTTGTGTATTTATGGAGAATTGTCGTGTGGGAGCATGGGTGATGTACGCTTGTGCACTGAGCTCAACAACAAGACTAGGTCGATCCTCTTACTTTCAGGATATTGCTTTAACCACTGAGCCTCTGTATCAGCAGCAGGTTTAACCACAGACTTCTGTATACAGTCTAAGGGTATTACCAGATCACACATGCACTGCCTGGTGCTGTACTGACTGTTTTCTGTGGCACTGAAGCGTTTCTGACCAAACAGAGAGAGTGAAAATGAAACTCTGACTCTGACGGAATTTTCACGGGATTTTTACACCTGTGGGAATAACATTCAAAGTGCACAACAATAATCGCATGATTTCCAGGATGGGGTTGTATCTCCCTCTCTCTGCTTCTGTCTCTCCTGCTCCTCCCTCAACATACAACAACATCTGTGATAGAGTGGGACACTCTGGTGTTTGCTGATCTGATAGGAATTTGCGAGAGGGGCTCCGGTCAGAGAGTGGGCACGGAGAGGGCTGGTACACCAATGATCTTTATTGCAGATTTGTAGTTACGGGTTCATATTGCCAAGGCAAGGTTATGGGCACGTGGCTGGATTTGGATGCATGTGTATGTGTATGTGTATGTGTGTATGTGTGTGTGTGTGTGTGTGTGTGGCTGAAACAAGAACAAAGGATACAAAAAACAATAGTAAAATTATGATATATAAAACATATACATAAATAACTTACATTAATAACAAATAATACATATACTATCTTTAACAAACAAACACAGGGAATACTGAAATGGTCCAGCGGTCTTTGGCGCCCTCTATAGGATTAATAGCGCAACTGCACTGCTGCAGCTGCCGCGTGCTTATTACGGCTTAATTCAGGGGTGGGCAAACTACGGCCCGGGGGCCATATGCGGCCCTTTAATCTTCTTAATCTGGCCCGCCGAACTTGATAATATCCAGTCTTTTTCAAAGTAATTTCAATAAATAGTAAATATCGTGGGACCTGAAAGACAGATATTTTGTTGTAATGATTTTCAATTATAGGATATTTCAATAACATGAGATATTTTCTACATATCCCATGTTATTTTTTTCTCTTATGAGGTGGATTACCAAAAAACTCCATCCGTGTGCTCGTAGTCCGGCCCTTCCGTCAAATTTTAAAACCCTTTGTGGCCCTCGAGTCAAAAAGTTTGCCCACCCCTGGCTTAATTGGTGTTGGGTTACACTCGGCTATAATAGCGAAGATGCGATGGACACCCGACAGACCTTGTAAACCTTATGGAACGGTGAACTAGACAGATGTACTATACATATATAACACTAAAACACAGGAAACACTTGACACAGCAATGATATAATAACATCACACAACTACTCACTTGTTAGGCATGACCGCACACAGAAAACACCACACAGGGAAAAAAACACCAGTGCCGTGGTGAAACTCAAGGAAAAAACAAACGGGAAGTGACATCATTAGTGACGTCAACAACGGACATTACAAAATAAAATAATCATATACATTTAAAGACTTTCCAACAATATCACCAGGTACAGACGGTTACATGTCAGGCAAAGAAGAACAGACTATAGGCGTGAAAACAGTTCATTTCACAAAACCCAACAGTCCCTTGTGTCCTTTGAACTGCACATGCTGCACGTCCTAGTTGGTTAAAATCCCAGGATATGAAACAAACAAGTAAGAAAAACAAAGAGCAACCTGCTCTCAGACAACTGTGGTCCAAATAAGAGCATGGCCATGTAGATGACCAGTTAAACGGGACATCTTGTGTAGAGCAAACAAAATGCTCCACATACAAAATGTTGGCTGCAAACTCGGGATGATTTAGGCAGTCAAAGGTTTCCTTTTTCATCTTTCCTGTGGATCAATCCTGCCCATTGCCTTCACCTTTCACTATTTTTCAATTCCGTTGGGAAGAGAAACAGTTTGAACAGAGGTTTGCAGTCACACACATCTGATTCCCTTGTGCATTCATGGATTCGCAAACAAATTTCTTGAGCCGTTAGGATCCAACAACCACACAATTACAATGTCTGAATCCCAAAACTAAAATATGACAATATCAGAACCAGAAACAAAAGTGATATGGTTCAAAAGACTAGAAAAGCCTGGCTTTGTCAATAGACACATCCCACTGGGAAAACAAACATGGCGGTTTGATGCTCACTTTTTCAGAAAATCCTTCCCAGTATGCACAGTGCAATGACCGGAAGTCCAAGATTCTTGATGCTTCTATTGTTTGTAGAGGAAATGATGGTACTTCAAAAACTGCAGCCTGTGTGATTTGCTCATTGCATTCATTCAAATTTGATTCAAGTGTGTTTAATCTTATAACACTACTGGGGAATTACATGAACTTATTCTCATTTCACACTCACACGCTCAATTCTAACATAAACACAGCCACTACTTACATACGTACATTTGTCCTCGCCTGGATTTTTTTTCTTAATTTTGCTATTAAAACTCCCCCTAATGAAGTGTTATGCAGTTGTTTCTCACTATATCGCGGCTCACCTTTCGTTTTTTTGTGCAATTTTGAATGTTCTTTTTAAAGCATATGAACGTGCATTGTGTTCCTCCCCCTGCGTCCTGATTGGTTAAGGGGCTGTAGACCATTGTCAATCAATCTCCTGCCGTGCCGTGTCTCCTGTACAGTACAGAATGCGTTCATCTGCCAAATTTACATAAATGTTGGATCTCTAGCAGATTCTAAAGTGCTGTATTTTTGGAAGTTTTCTCCCCGACAAAACCCACAATGTTGGCGAAACAAAAGCTCCTGTGGTCACACCCAAAAGGCAGAGGAAGATGCAAACCGTCGCACAAAAAGTTGGACTTCTGGACACGCTGAAGGAAGGTAGAAGTTGCGCAACTGTATCGCATTACGGAATAAATGAATCTTCGGTTTGTTACATAAAGAAGAAGGAAAATAACATAAGGACGACAGCAGTGATGAGTTTTAAGAAGGATGTAAAAATGGTTAACCTGTTGCCACTCGCATCATTTTGGTGTGTGCACAATGTTAAGACATACCCAAATGCCATAGCTTATTAAAAGAAAACCTTAGAACCCACATGCTTGTGTGAGGCACCATTTTAAAGCTTAGGCCTTCTAGTTTCTGTAAATATGTACATGAAGACTGTGAGTGCTGCCTAACCTACAGTACAGTCAATTAAAAATTTTATTTTTTTGCTTCGAAAAAACAATTGAAAAAAATAAAGGCCTTAGCTTGGGCATACTTCATGCTAGGCATTTGTGACTCACTACACTCATTGTTCAAGTTGTTGGCAACAACTGTGTAGAATTTCAGATCTCTAGGACAAAGGGTTTTGATGCTGTGAGCCTTTGTGTAAACAAAATGACAATTCGGCACAAGATTGCCAAATTTGTGCCAAAATAATAATAATAATAATATAATAATAATAATAATTGTTATTATTATAATACTAATTCTTCTGAGCTTTAGGCATGTTTTCTCAAGAAAAAAAACTAAAAGTAGCCAAAATTGTCTTCCAACTGGCAGTTCTGCTACTACTACTACTGCTCTCTGTGTCTCTCTCTGTGTCCTGTCCTCTCGGCTGCGCGTATAAAACACAGGGTCCGTTTCCAATACAATCTGAATGTCCCACCCACCGTTTGAAAGCTCTGGTGATAGGCTAAAACAATATGTCAATCACTTTCTGGAAGATCCAATGACTGAAGAGATTTCCCATAAACAAACTGATGATGCGTGCGTAAAGCCAGGAAGTACGTGAGTGCGTTAGCTTCTTCAGCGGCTTGTCCCACCTAAACCCCGCCACCGACAACAGCGGGGAGGGTCTCATTTTGAAGCTAAGAGTGTGAGGAAAACAAGCGAACCCAAGAGCGGGAGAGAAAGGGAAGTGAGAGCGGGAGAAGAGGCGGAGAAGAGACATAATATTTTCATTCACGGATTCATCCACTCATACGGACGACGGTTTTCTGGATTATTTCCCCACATGGAATTATTTTTTGGAAAAACAACTTGATATTCTTTTTCTGTGGATTATTACGGACTTATTGAGTACAACTTTTCATGGATTGAACGCGTTTTGGACCGACAGAACCGCTCAAAGTTAAGAAACGCGTATCTTATTCTTTGTTTATGATGTGAATTTTTAAGTTATAGCGTTTTGGGCTGGTTCTACGGCATAAAATGAATGATATGGTTGTTTTATTGATAAATTAAGCTTTCAAACGATGTATGGCCAGTAGTGAAAACAATAATGAAGGTGAATATACAGAGTGAACATTTTTTATTGGAAAATCGCCCGCCGGTGGGCGGGTGGATGGTAAGTGGTTTTAACTGTTCTGTCTGACAAAAGTGTATAAAGTGTGTGGTGAGGGGTTTTACAGCCTTAAAACAGATAGAATAATTGTAAAAAATAAAGCTAACTAATTTGTGGATTTCGCCTGTTGTGGGTTATTTTTAGAACGTAACCCCCGCGATAAATAAGGGACCACTGTTTTTTCAGTA